TAAATATCAATGCAAGAAAACAAACATGTAAAGCATAGGAGTGTTTCTAATGGAATGCCTGGTGCATTAAGACAGAAGGAGTGTGTCCAACATGTGGCTGTCAAACCCACTCACCTGCATCAAGCACACTCATGCAACACGACGTTAAGTAGGTTTGGGTATCGCTTGGGGTTATTTTGATTCCGGTGCTTAATCTATACTTTTAAAATGGTACCAGTGCCAAAACGGTGCCTGATCTAATACTTTTGAGTCACAAAATGATAGTGGATGACTCTAGAAAAGTATTTTATTTGACATAAAAATGCTTTAATAACTTTGATTGAACAATAGAATTAAAGTTTTAAGTGTACATAAAATTCATATTTTATATATTTGAATTGAATTGCATTAACATTTCTTGTGTTTTATATTTCTTATAATGTCTATTTGTACATGATTAATGAAGTGGGTACTCTTATACTTTTATGTATATAAAGGTCACTTTGGGTCAGGAGTGGCTTCTTACTTCATATTCCTGCGATGGCTGTTTGGGATCAATATAGTTCTCACTATTATGACTGGAGCCTTTATTGTCCTTCCTGAGGTTAGTGTGCACTGCATTCCTTCTTAACAGCATTTAATATGCGTAATGTACTGATGTGGATATTTAGGTAGGCACACAAAGGTCATTTAAATGATCTGTCAGCATTACACATGATATTACGCTCCTTTATTATAAATCCCGAACAGCATACACAGATCTTTAGATGCTGCCATGAGCTCATACATTATTTGTTGGACAACATCTTTTATTAAAACTCAGCAAGGCTCTTTGAAATGAGAAATGCGGTTGGATTTATTTCACTTCTGCTGCAGAGACACAAAAGTAATTTTGGCTGTTGTCTTCTATCATTCTTTCTCTCTCTCCGAACAGCTACTGGCCGGCGCTCCATTCGGCACAACGCGGAGCAAAACCATTCCTAAAGAGCACTTTGCCTCGGCACAAGACCTGGACACCATCTGGTCGCTCGGGGCAAGATTTTCCTCTCTCTCTTTTTACTGCTTTACCAATATGTCGTGCATATTATCTGTGTGACTGACTTGGAGGTTTAATCACAGACACAAATGCTGCCACTTTGTCAACAGGTTCTGTTTCGTGTCTGTGTTTCAGGGATATCTACAATACTCTGTGCTTTTTTACGGCTACTATGGTAATGTGCGTAAAATCGGCAGCGCTGGCTACAGACTTCCATTGGCCTATTTTCTGGTCGGGATGGCAGTTTTTGCTTATAGCTTCATCACATTGTTAAGAAAGTAAGCTTCTCTGTAATTACGCATTTTTTACTAGGGCTGTTTGTTGTATTGTTTCAGCATCAAAATCGCAATGTGCGCATATTCAATAACCACATCGCAGAGTCAGTCAAACTAGAAGTTTTTAAGGCCCGTTACGTTCTGATTTCAAGTGTCACGGGGAGAAGAATCACACAACAAGTGAGAGCTCGTATGAGTGCCCCGGAGGGTGGTTTATTTACAAAAAGTGATTTTTTTTCCCAGTGGTGAGTTCAGGTTGGTGGCTTTGGGGCTCTATGTGCTCTTTTCCCCCATGTTGCATTGGATAAGCGGAGTGCCTCTTTGATTCTGGCCGGTTCTCAGCTGCTGTCTGGAGAAATAGAAAAAGAGCGAGTTAGTGGTTGTTCTTATGGAGAGCCTTCTCCCCGTTCTGCTGTGTTGCTGCAGTTTAAATGCACGCCGGCTGATGGGCTGCAGCTGGGGCCAATCAGCCTGAGTTGAGGGCAGGCAGTTGTTTCTAGTGGTGGGCAAAGCGAGGCTTCATGAAACACTGAAACAGTCGAAGCAAATGTGTAAAAGCTTCGAAACGTTTCGAAACCCCACTCTACATATTTTTTATGTATTGCACTGAAACAGCTGCAGCACAGAACAGTTTAGCAAATTGAGGTATTAAAGCCCACTTTGTAAGATTAGTCTTCAAGTAATGTAGCGGAGTGGTTAAGGTGCCAGGGATAGTGGGTTTGAATCCAGGCTAATACCGCTATTTTGAAATGCTTTAATACCAGTTAGTAATGCTTTGCTCTTAAATCGTTTTGTTTCAACATTGGTCTGATATCCGAATAAACAATTTGTGAATAAATGTCTTGTTTTGGTCTTAAAACAGGATTGTTGCTAGATCGGAAACTGTGGCCTGAAGTTATCAAGAATTATTTATATTATTCATTTAATTTCCCATTTATTGTATTTAATTAACGTCTACCCAAACCCTAAACCAAACTATCACAGTACTGTAAAAATATTAATTATTGTTTTACAGTCTTACAAAAATGATGCTAAATTGATGGCGTAACTGCAGCTGTATCCTATTTAGGCTACACAAAACAGAAACATGATAAAAACACATAAAACCAGGATTTTTAGAGAGTATTTGTACAAGTCGGGATTCGAACCCAAAAAGTCATTTGAAGCATAGTAACATCGTGCACACACACAGTCCACTAGGCCATATGAGACAAGATTTTCCAACCTAGGCAGCCAAATGGAGATTCGCCAGGTCTCGAAACGCTTTTAAGGTGATCAGTGCTTTGAATCGCTTTAGTCACGTGACCAGGGGCCTCATGTACTAAGACTTGCGTGGAAATCATACTAAAACATTGCGTACGCACAAAGCTGTAAATGTGCATACGCAGAAAAAAATTCAGATGTATAAAACACTGCGTACTCTGAATCCCACGCATATTCTTTTGTACATCTGAATGAACGTGAAACTGAGCGCAACATGCACGAGCACAAAACCCCTCCCTGCCTCTTCCCCCGTATGAATATGCTAATGACTCTACTTTGGCAAAACCCAACGAAAAAGCAATGGCAAAAGCAAGCACGAAGAGAAACTTTGAACAAGATGTGAATTGGAGGTGCTGCTTTCGGAGGTAGACCGGAGAAAAGTGGTGTTATTTGCAAATTTGTCCTCCGGAATTAACAACAAAAGAAAAAAATAGAATGGGAGAGTTTAGCTGATGCGGTCAACACAGTTGGGTCTAAACATCGCACTGTGGAGTTTAAAAGAGAAATAGTGTGATTTATAGGTGTAAAATGCAGTATCCTTAACAGTCTCATTGGCGCAGCTCGTAAGATGCATGTCAACATGTTTTGACACGTTCGAGCATGAACTCGGTTCGAATCCAGCGTCTGATGAACTCTTTCTTCTTTTTTCCCCCGCTACATATCAGATTTTGCCCACTATTTATCACGAGAAAGACAAGTAGGAATCATTAATAAGTTTGTGCATCATATTTTATTTGCACATTTATTGAATGGAAATGTTTCTGATTCACGCATGCAAATTCATCTTCAGATAGTGTCTTTATAGCAATGTGCGTGCAGTAGATTGCTCAGATTACATTGGGAAAACAGGCGACTGCTGCAAATTGTGCTTTAATGTTTAGCTGGTCAACTGTATGGTATGGAAACCGTATATACCTGCTAGATGAACCCGTCTCATACAGCTGCCATTGCAAGGCTCAGACACTTTGTAGAGAGCAATTTAACACAACTGCCTCTAGGAGTCGCCAATGGAAATAAAACAGACACGCACAAAAAAATGTGCGTACGCCAGCCATAAAGCTGCCGTGAAGCTGCGCACATTCCCACGTTCAGTTCATTGTTAGTAAATCCAAACGTGAGCGATTCTGAGCGTGAAACCTGGCGTACGCAAAGTATTTGTGCGTACGCAGCGTTGATACATGAGGCCCCAGGTGTTTCGAAACACTTTAGTCACGTGACTTAGGTGCTTCGGATCATGCTTCGGTGCAGTGTTTCGAAACACTTGCGCTTCGGGATCTTGACATTGTGTCCAAACGTCAGTTTCACATAAGCCATCCCTAGTTGTTTCTTCTTTGTTTCCTGGGCAACGCTGATGATCCTTCAGGACGCTCGTCACATAAGCCAATTCAAACCCTTTGTGTATTAGAAATCATGTTTGTAACTTTAAGAAAGATTGATTGTATTTAACACGTTGTAAAATAAAGATTAAACAGTTTTATTTATTTACATTTGACTATTTAATTTCTGTACTTAAATACAGCGTATTGCAAAAAAACAAAACATTGCAATGTCCATTTTTTTTCATTAAGGTGCAGCCCTATTTATACATTTTTGATTATGGACCATAAAGCCTTAAGCGTAAGCAGCGAGCAAGCAGAGCGTGTTTTTTAAGCGTCTATGTTAACAGATTACCGTACGTTCACCACGAAGGCGACGAGAGCGTCAAAGTAGCCAGAAGTCATTCATTTTCAATGAGAGCCGGTGGCGAGGAGCAGCACGTCGTGTCTTCGCTGGTGTGGGCGTCGAGGGGAGTTGAAATCTAGTCAACTTTATGGTAATGAGCTATGACTTGGTTCGGCGGCAAGCAATCAGAATGAAGAAGTCCACTGCTTGAGAGGAGTTCAGAGAACACAGACCTGTTAACTTTGGTTCTGATCACAGTTGTTCCCAAGGGTTTGATTATTGCGGTCACCGGATTTTCAATTAATAAAATGTTTTCTTACAGGAACATGCATTAAATAAGTTACTGGCGAGTTACTCGTGTGCATTAATGTTATATATATTTATCTTAAAAAAGCGGGAATCTCATGTGACAGTACTAAACAGTATTGCTGCTTCAGGAGATTTTAGACATATGGACACATTGGATAATTAAGTAAAGCAAAGCCACACAACGGAATGAACCACCAACTTATCCAGCATATGTTTTACGCAGCAGATGCACTTCCAGCTGCAACCTATCACTGGGAAACACACATACACTCTTGCATTCACACACATACTGTACACTGCAACCAATTTAGTTTATTCAATTGACCTCTACCGCATGTCTTTGACTGTGGGGGAAAACGAACACCCGGAGGAAACCCACACCAACACAGGAAGAACAATCAAACTCCACACAGGACTCAGCTAGGGCTCGAACCAGCTACCTTCTTGCTGAGGCGATCTTGATACCCACTGCGCCACCGTGATGCATGCATATGATACAATCATACAAATTATGTACAGTTAAAATCAGAATTATTAGCCCATCTTTGAATTTTTAAAAAAATATTTCTTAAATAATGTTTAACGGTGCAAAGAAATGTTCACAGTATGTCTGATAATATTTTTTTCTTCTGGAGAAAGTCTTATTTGTTTTATTTTGGCTAGAATAAAAAGCAGTTTTTTTTTTTTTTAAAGCAATTTAAAGGTCAAAATTATTAGCCCCTTTAAGCTACATTTGTTCTCGATAGTCTACAGAACAAATCATCGTTATTCAATAACTTGCCTAATTACCCTTACCTGCCTAGTTAACCTAATTAACCCAGTTAAGCCTTTAAATGAACTTTAAGCTGTATAGAAGCTGTCTCGAAAAATATCTAGTCAAATATTAACTACTGTCATCATGCAAAGATAAAATACATTATTAGAAATTATTATTAGAGATGAGTTATTAAAACTATTATGTTTAGAAATGTGTTGAAAAAATCTGCTCTCTGTTAGACAGAAATTGGGGAAAAAATAAACGGGGGCTAACAATTCTGACTTGATCTGTATACATTTTAGATATCTATGTGACAAAAAAGTTTTGTATTGTTTTGTTTGTATGTATGTGTTTGTGTCATTACGTAATAAATATATAAAATACACTCACACACATATATTGTCAAAACAAACTTATTTTGGATGTGATTGATCATGATTAATCTTTGCCCTGCACTTAATTGACCCCAGTGGGAATATTTGGGACTTAGGCCTGCAGTTGCATACACTAAACAAAACAAACAGCAAATCAACACAAAAATCACATTCAAAGAAGAGGATTGCATATTTAAGACTCAAGTCTAAGTGACGTCAGTAAATATTATTTCTTAAAGCGATTGTATTAGCATACAAGGCATCCTGTATCATCTACCAAAAGGCAGTAACTCATGCTCACAAAATAAACAATGTGAGGGGGTCGATATTATTTTAGTAGCTTCATTAAGATCTGATTGCACAGATAATAGATGCTAAGGATTGATATATTTGTTCCAAAAACACAGCATAACTTCGAAGTTGAGAGGTAACTGTAAAAATGATAAATAGTTTATCACATAAAACATTATATTTCCTTATGTAAATGCTCCATAATATTTTGAGTGTAATTTTTTTTAGGGTTTATTCAACTTCATGTCTTTTATTTTGTTTGTTTTGTTCCTCTATCAGAATGGCTAAAAACTCCCGGATGAGTTTAGCTGGTGCCTCTGATGAGAATTACACCTTCTGTTGGCGTGTTTTCTGTGCGTGGGACTACCTGATTGGGAACCTAGAGGCAGCTGAGAGTAAAGGGGCGGCCATTGTCAACAGCATCAGAGTAAGCATCCTTTTCCAAACAATTATTAATTTTATTTGTTAACATATGTCTGCTAAGTAATGCTGTCAAATAGATTAACTGTTATTAGTCACATCCCAAATAAAGGTCGTTTATATTGTATTTTATTTGTGAGCTGTGTATATTCAATTCTATTATTTTATTTGTACAGTGCTTTTCATAATAATTATTGTTTTAAAGCAACTTTACAAAAGGCGCACTTTTATTGTATTACAATCTAATTGGGAAAAGTTAAGGTTATTAGTTACTATAACTTTATAATTTACTTATAACTTGAACCACTTAGCTAGTAACTGATAGCTTTTAACATTTAAGGTTGTTATTACTATATAAATATAGTTAACGAAGTGTAATGAAGTGTATCAAGTATTTGTGTTGTCCTCCAAGTCTTCGATTGTTTGCATCATCTCTTCACAGGTTATATATTTTACAACCTATGCTATAAAATGTTATATTTTATAAATAGTTATATTTATATTGTATATGTACTGTGTATATAATAATAATAATAATAATAATAATAAATATGTACATTTGTTACTATGTGTATTGTTTCTTTTGTTTGTGGGGTGGTGCATGATTGCAATTATATGTATAAAAAACTTCTCATTTTCTCAAAACATTTTCTCAAAAATACAAAAGCATGTGTGTTTTATATATAAACAATTCATCTATACAGTACACTCATATGTTATTTAAATACAAACTGTTATTCTGGATATGATTAATGACAATCGTTTGACAGCACCATTGTAACAGAGTTGCATTATTTTAGTTTAAATGACAAATATTGCCTTGCCTACCTTAAAAAGGTTTTATATAATGATTTTTTTAGTGCATTGTTATTTTAGTACATCTTTATCCTAAATTTAAATTAGGAATGTTGTTTATTATGGGATTTGTTTTAGCATTGATTTAGTACAGTTTTTGTTGATCATCTTTACACTAAAATCAAATCAAACTATTAAAAGAAAAAAAAAACATTGTATTTTGCTTGAAGAAAATAATCAGAACACCGTATCAGAAAACACAACGTAGAAAAGTGTTCAGTTGACGTGAAAACCTAATATTTTATCATATATATATATATATATATATATATATATATA